AAATCCTATCTACTCTTGGGAAAGGTATCAAATTTCACCTGCCCCAGTCATATTTAAACCCATACCTCCCTCTTACTCAGCAGTTACCCTTTTACTTGTTCATGTTTTTATTTGATTTATTATGCAGCTATCTGGTGATGTGGTATTTATCCAGATTCTTTTATATAATCTTATCCTTGTCTTTCTTAGGTTGTGAGGGAGCTGGGAGTCTCTCATCCACATTTAGTAAAGCAGAGCCTAAGTGGCTGTTCATTTGGTGCTTTAAATAGTAGTTGTGCTGGTTCAATCTAAGAAGGAGGGGCCAGCTTTAGCTCTTTGCCTTACTTGGGCACCTCATTGAGTTTTGATGCCCACAATACTGAGTATCTCCCTTGCCCTTTAGGTCAGGCTGCCAGATGGGACCTCACTGACCCAGACGTTCCGGGCCCGGGAACAGCTGGCAGCCGTGAGGCTCTATGTGGAGCTCCACCGTGGGGAGGAACCAGGAGGAGGCCAGGACCCTGTGCAATTGCTCAGTGGCTTCCCCAGACGGGCCTTCTCAGAAGCTGACATGGAGCGGCCTCTGCAGGAGCTGGGTATGGCTGCAAGACTAGAAACCAGGACTTGGGGGAGTAGGGAGGCATGCTTGGGAAAAGGAGGGATGCAAAGAGAAGGGGTTTTGTGAACATGGTGCAAGGCCAGGAATTTTGGGAGCAAAAACCAAGTATCCTTGTGGTTCAAGCCTGTTTTCTTCCATCTTTAGGACTCGTGCCTTCTGCTGTTCTCATTGTGGCCAAGAAATGTCCCAGCTGAGGGCCTTTGTCCCATCGTCCCTCTGTGACCCCTTCATGTTTGATAAAGCACTGACATCTCCTTCCTAATAAATAGACCCTGAGTTCTGTACATGCCTGACTCCTTCCTGAATGGCTGGGAGGGAAAAAACCAAGGCAGAGGAAGAGGCTAAAAGGGAACGCATTTGTAGCAGACCCTCTTCCTCATCTTTAGTTTCCAACAAAGACACTTGTTTCTAATCTCTGGGTCTGATTAACTGCTGGGGAAGTTGAGGAGGAGAGGTGCTAAAAGGAGTGGAGAGTACATTGGATGGCACCTTTTACTCCTATGGTAAGACGGAACATAAAAGCCCAACTGCTGCTGCTTTTTTATTTTTATTTATTTATTTATTGAGAACACAAGAGTGCCTTTTTTTTTTTTTTTGGAGACAGAATCTTGCTCTGTGGGCCAGGCTGGAGTCAGTGGCGCCATCTTGGCTCACTGCAAGCTCCGCCTCCCAGGTTCGCGCCATTCTCCTGCCTTAGCCTCCCGAGTAGGTGGGACTACAGGTGCCCACCACCACACCCAGCTAATTTTTTGTATTTTTAGTAGAGATGGGGTTTCACCATGTTAGCCAGGATGGTCTCGATCTCCTGACCTTGTGATCTGCCCGCCTCAGCCTCCCAAAGTGCTGGGATTACAGGCATGAGCCACGGCGCCCAGCCAGAAGAGTGCCTTTTCATTTTAAAAATGTTTGGAAATGGGCACAACTTTGATACAGCTTCGGGGTGCTCCAGACACCCATGGCCACTTCATGTAAACCACTGAGAATTTGAGATTTTTTTTTTTTTTTGAAATGGAGTCCTGCTCAGTCACCCAGGCTGGAGTGCAGTGGTACGGTATCGAACCACTTCCTGAGTTCAAGGGATTCTCCTGCCTCAGCCTCCCAAGTATCTGGGATTATAGGCACGCACCACCATGCCCAGCTAATTTTTTGTATTTTTAGTAGAGACGGGGTTTCACCATGATGGCCAAAGTGGTTTCAAACTCCTGACCTCAGGTGATCTACCCGCCTCGGCCTCCCAAAGTGCTAGGATTACAGGCGTGAGCCGCCGTGCCCGGCCACCACTGACAATTTCTAGAGCACTTTGAGAGACGATACAATATGATGATCAAATTTTGTAATTAAATCTAATGAGGGCAACACACTTCTCAAATACGAGATGTGTCGACTGGGGGCTCCCCTACTCTAAGGTATTCACAAGGAGGCAGATAAACAGTTTTTTTTTCTTTTGAGATGGAGTTTCG